TTGGAGGGTTGCCGACTGATGGGCTAACTTGGACAACGCAGTCAGTCCAGTGTGCGTCCTGTTGTGTGGAATGGCTTTCTGAGGGCTGAGAATCAAGCTCAATGGCTCCTTCTTAATGTTGCCTTTCTGGCGCGGTGGGCTGTTGGTAAGCGTATTGAGTGTTGGTCGCGCCAGCAGCCTGCGCCCTTCCTAATTTTTGGTATTCCTGACTTCGTCCTGACATCGAGCTCAGATCTGGGAGTTTTGAGAGAGTGGGGGTAGATTCTCCGCAAGTCTACTTTCACTATAATTCCGCGGAAGTAACCGCGGAAGTCACCGCGTTGTTTCAGCCTGCTAAAGCTGTTGGAAGACATCGTCGAGAGCGACAGTCAAACTGTCGTGTGTGATAAAAACTTGTTGGGGACTTCAGTCCACCTATCCATTAGTCAGTCAAATGTGTTTTTCCTGAGAAAAAACTGGTGAAAATTAAGTTATTTAAGATAGGATGAATTAATTATTAGATCTCTAACTCTTACCGCGGTCACCCATTTCGCCCTTCACTCCAACTGGTCCAATTGGACAGTCGGGTCCAGTGTCACCTACCGGGCCTGGGGGACCACTGAAACCCTTCGGACCCGAATACCCGGGCTGACCTTGAGGACCGGTTGGACCGCGGTCTCCAGACTCGCCAGGGGGACCGCGTTCCCCTTGCCTGCCTTGAAGAATCCCTGTACAAGTGCTATCACCCTAATAGGAAGCAAATTAGAGTCATGAGAGAGGGAAAGCAAAAACGAATACCAAAAAACATTTAATAGGAACTCAGTTGAAAAACAAATCAGTAAGCAGGTAAAATGGGAATCTTCGGCTGTAATCTTAGATCGTATTTCTGATTTTTCTATAGCCAAAAACTACTTAAGTAGGCATACACTATTGCCGACAAAGCAAAGGGAGACCGGAATGGCCACTTCTGGCTTACTAGCCGTCATCAGCCCGCCATACCCAATCCCAAGTGGTCATCACCCAATGGTTAGAGCGTTAGGCTGCAATCAAAAAGATCGCGAGTTTGAACCTCGGGCGGAACACCACTTCGGGCTGGGAATGACTGGCTGACGACGGCTAATAAGCCCAAAGTGGCCATTCCAGTCTTCAATGTTTTTGTCGGCAGTCTTATCTACCCAGACTACTAGCCGTTACGGCTGTTGTCCGGGCCCGAGAAATAAAACCCATGGCAGAGTGGGACAAGTGAGTCCCATTAGCGGTCGGTGAATGCTCATTAATGAGTGTACTTAAGAAGGCCCCGCTTTGACAAATCCGCATTTATACGATAAGCCAATGTTTATGCAAAAGCTGAGAGATTGAAAACAACCGACGTTTGTACAATATGCAAATGTCTTGGTCAAGGATTTCAGGATGCTGTTTGTCATGTTTGAGGCACTGTAGGAAACAGTTTTATAAATTCCTCTAA